GAGCCAATCATAGGTAGAGATACTTATACCTACGAGAATGGCTGAGGCCACCAGCAAGAGGGCCAGACACAAAGACAGAACTTGCTTGGATAAAGCCCACAAAGTCAGCTGAGAAGCAGCTCTCGGAGAGGCAGGAGTACGAAGGAAGGGGATGAATGGAACCCAAGGTTTGGAAGAGTTTCCAGGATCAGCATCCTAGCTAGAGTCAGGGGAACAAATTCAGCAGGAAGGTCAATTAGGTATGGTGGCCTTGGAGAAGGAGGTTTCAGTATAGTGATGGCAGCTGGCCAGATCGCAAGTGACTGGCAGTTGGTAGGGAAGGGACCATGAGCAAGACTAGAATTATAAGAGATGTGGTTATGACGAAGGCCAGTCGGAAAGGCCCCTCCCATGCATGCACAAAGGCAAGTGAGACAGGTGGTTATTCAATCAGGCATTTCGAACAAGTCCACAGTCTTTCTATGGTTCTGCAATTTGGGGATAGGGAACATTGTGCTGTTATTCAAATTCCATTCACTCAGATTCCCTCCGACATGAGAGGTGACCCTGGTTCCGCCAATAGCTACACTGGGACATGGCTAGAGTTGCGTAGAGTTGCCACTGGATGAGAAGTCATCCCCCAGTCCCTTTCAATCCTGACTTTCTGTTAGCCTTTTCACCTCAACAAACAGAGGGTTCTGACAAACTGTTCTCAAGACATTCAGAAATTGCAGCGAGCAGATGACTTCGTCATGAAAACAAACACCCAAGCAAGAGGTTGCCGGTAATTTTCACAGAAGCACAAGATAACAGGACAACAATTACTTGTCTCTTTGCTTCAGCAAAATCCCCTCTAGGTGACAAATCTCGATTCATGTTAGAGCAGAAGTTGTTACTGATTCTGCTACAGCAGTCTGGCGTGGCTTGTCAAGGCACCAAGGAAAGGCACAGGGCAAAAATGGACAGTTTGGCATCTAAATGGCATCATGTTTCAGACTGAGTTACACATTTGCAAAATAACGATACTTCGTGGTTCAAAGTAACACAGGGGTGTGGGCCCTGGGGAGCATGACTGTCTCTGCCTCCATCCTATTGACAGCTCCTGTGAGTCACACCCAACATCACACAGCAAAGCCAGGCCATCAATCAAAAGGTCTGAAAGGCAGTAAGTGCCCTGGTTTGAAGTCAGGCTCATCACAACTCTTACTCAATGAATTTAAACACCCCACAAACACACACACCTGCAGCTCACACCCCAGAATCTAAATAACGATGTACACCATGGTTTATATGAGGCCCTGAAAAAAGTCCACCCACAGAAAAAGCAATCCTTTGAGAACCCCAAGAAGCACAATCTTAAACAGTAGGGGACTCTGGGCACCCGTGACTACCGGGAGAACCCAGGGGAGGAATGAAGTTCTCCTGGCCTGAGAAATCCACTAAAAGTCAAATCTGGGCACTAAAACAGTGGCACCACTGAAAACACATTACAGGGTCACAAATGCACAGAGCTTGACCATTTTAATAATCCAACCTCATTACCACATGGTTGAGCTCACCAAATGTTATAGAAATGATTGTGAGGGGGGCTGAAAATATCAGATGAGGTCCACGGTGGCTGACTCAACCTCTTCAAATACGAGAGTCAACATACCAGACCAGGCATGAGGCAAACGAGTGGTGCTAAAAACAGTGCCAGCTCAGACCCTGAGGGGGCAACTGAAGCAAGTCAGCTGTCCCTGCAGGAGCATGGGTCTTAAAGCCACTTGAGAAGTCACCAGGGGCATGATGAGAAACACGGCAGATGGTGTCAGATGCCATATTACCTCATAAGATGATAGAAATTAAGTCATATGTGAACACAACATTTTCAAGTATTTTATTGTCTTTTTTAGCCCTGGTGATTTTATATATATCATATATATAAATATAAATATATATTTAATATATATAAATATTATATATATAATCTGTATATAATATATATATCTGTATATATATAAAATCTGTGGTGAAACTACAGCCTCTTTCCAAACTGCATTGTGTTTTACTTGAATATGTGGGATTAATTTCGAAGCCATTAATTTAAAAGTCTTGGGTTGAAGAAACAATTTCTTTTTTCATTGGAGGAGACTAGGTTAGAAGACAAAACTCAGGAACCACACTCAAGTTGAGAAATCTACTGTTGATGTCAAACGAAGACCAAAAGTCTTCCAGCTGGAAAGTACTTCCTCTGTTTACACACTGCCTGTGAACAAGCACAGAGCTGCTGTGGTCTTCATGTTTTCTAGAACTGGTCTAGTGATGCAGAACAGAAAGTATTTTGTCCTTCACGTCAAGGGGTGGAAAAGGAAGCTGACAAGTGATTAGTGTTCAGGAAGAATTGACCTCAAGTCTTCTATACAGTGAACAGAGACAAATCGTAGAGAAGGTTATGCATATTATTTATAAGTGAAAGCTAGTAAGAAGTAAACTGAAATGTACCTCTACGTTCACATTTCTTTACGTATTTTGTAGCATTTCTTTTTTTTTTGGTACCTGGGATCGAACTCGGGTGCTTGCGCTTGCACAGCAGGCAGCGAAACCACTGAGCTAAACCCCCGGCCCTGTAGCATTTCTTAATACATATTAACCATTACAGATTAGTTCATAACAATAACAATTAGTTCATTTAAAGAGTAGTTCTCAGTGCTAAAGATTATCACTTGGCTATTTTAAATCACATTTTTAATGAGAAAGGAAAATAAAAATAAAAAACAACAACCATTGAAAGAAATCTTTTGCTATGATATATAACTCAGTCACTTGTTTCTGTGAAGCCAGAGACAAATTTTGCTCCCTTGGTTGCTGAATATCAAAGGCCCACTCAAAAGCCTCGTGGTTTTCAGCATCTCTGGCCCATGTGCCTTCTCTGCTCACATACTCGCATGCTCCCAAAGCCCTCTGACCAAGCTGGGACTCCCTCCCTGCTTGACCTCCAGCCCGTCCCTCTTGCTCGGCTCCCTGTCCTATATTTCGCTTTCAGCCTAAGCCACTGCCTCTCTTGCTCTCTCAGGGACCCTCATTTTATCACCCCCCCTCCCCCTATCACATCTGCCCCCTCCTCTGCTCTTGGCTAAGTCCCTGGCTCTCCTCTGGGGACCTGGTGAGTCTCACTGCCCTGGGCCCCATATTCCAGTCCACCCTCTGTCATCTCCTGGACCTTCTGACCTTTGGTGACTTCCCACCGCCCTTATGATTGAGCCAGAACTCCCAGAAGACTTCCCATTTCCAGCTTCAATCCCACCTCTTGTTTCCCAAGCCGTGGCAACGCTGGGCTCCTGTTCCACTGTCATGTCTTTGCCTGGCCCAGGCCTCTGCCTTTGCATCCCCGCCTCTGCAAGTCCCACACACTGCTTCCCATGGAAAGCCCCTCTCTGAGCAGAATTAACCCCTCTGACCTCTGTGTTACTGTGGCACTTTGCTGTCATGCGGGTAGCACAATTATCACACCATGCTAAGGCTGCCGACAGGTCCATCTTACCAAGCAGATTATGGGCCCCTTTAGGGCAGGTGTCTGGTCTCAAATCTCTGCCGAAGGTGCTTAACAAAGGGGCAGCACACGAAAGGCCAGGAATTACCTGGTGACAGCTTACTCAACAGAGGGCTTACAAGAAAGAAAAACACTCATAAGTAGATACATGAAAGCCAAGAACAGCAATGAAATTCTCCTCCTCATATTTAGTGGAAATCTTGGGAGAAAAATAGATCAGTGAAATCTGAGGGCTGCCCCTTACAAATCTAAAGGCTCCTGACACAATAATACATTATGTATAGTTCAGTGTACTCAGAGAAATCACCATGGTTAGTGTTACAAATTTAGAAGCTTTTAAGGCTCTTGAAAATGTATCAAGCAAACAGATAAATGTATGTACACAGAGGACAATGAAATGTATACTATCAGAGTATAATAGTTATTGAAATATTATTTCTAAAAGAGAACTGTACAAACCGTAAGCACACAGCTGGTGGATTTTCACCAAGGGAATACAGGCACGTAACCAGCATGCAGATCCAGAAACAGAACATTCCCAGGTCTCTTCTAATTGCTGCCCTCCCCTAAGGGTAACCACCACCATCCTGACCTTTAAACCACAGATCCATGGTGCCTGTCCTTTCTGTCATAAAAACAGAATTATATAGGACCTAGTGCTTTCTGTTTGGCTGCCTCTACTCAACGTGGATAGAGGTGACCATTTATTAAGCTGCATATAAATGGAACTATCAGGTGCTGAGCCATAAGAAATCCAACATCTCTGTGCCCCCAAAATTGTAAGAAGCAAAACTGCCTATGTTGCATGCAATAAGACAAAAATTTGCTTAGTTTCTGAACCTTCTGAACTCTATGATGTTTCTCAGTTCACATTTCTAAAACGAAGGAATAAATGAAGCAAAATTTAAAAGACTGTTTTGGGGGGGGACCCAAAATCCTGGGAAGGGAGGAAGACCCCCAAAGCTCACTGAATACTTTTGCCATGTAATGGTTTTCAAAGTCAGTCTAATTTTCTGACTTCTAGGAACAATTTTTGCATCTTTTGGAGATCCTTCCCTCCCTCTTCCCTCCTCCTCCTCCTCCTCCTCGTCCTCTTTTTCACAAACATTTAAAAACTAAAGTTTGAGGGTCGGGATTTAGCTCAGTGGCACCCTGCCTGCCTCACAACCCCCAGGTTCTGAGTTCAATCCCCTGTACCAACAAACAAACAACAACAACAAAACCCTTTAAGTTTGAGATCATTTAAAAAATATTTTCAGTGTCCTAACTGCAAATCGATGGTTTGCTAAAAGGAGTGGAAATGAAAAGGGAAGATTTCACCACTACATTGTGGAATAAACGTGGTAAGAAGAATTTCAAGTTGAATGTTACACTATTAGGATTACCCATGTTCTCCAGCTTTTGAACGGATACACCCATCACCTACTAGTTGCGCCTCTGGAGTGTTTTATGCAATATACATTGATCATGCTCTCCTGCGAGCACATACCTTGGGGATTGAAGAAACCAGTCATCCAAAACACATTGGGCCTCCCTTCAAATATCCAAGTAGAAAACTGAGCATTTCTTTCCAAAAGTTCAGTGAACCAAAAGCCCAGTGTGGATGAATCCCAGGACACCCTTTTCCAGATCTGAGGGATTCGAGCATCGTACATGTTGTCCAGGGCATCTCTCAAGTTCTGAAGAGGATAAGGGTAAAATACATGACTAAGAAACAGCAACAAAAGAGGGAGATGACTACTGAGGGACCAAGTGCTCACCTCACTCATAATGATTGTTCCTTCAATGGCCAACTTGAGGTCACTCAGGCTAATGCGAAGTATTGAGATGACTTTTTGCATTCTGTCAATTTCTTGTCTAAGAAATATGTTCATTGAATTAAGATGGCCCATTTTTATCAAACGAGCTTTCACCTAAAACAAAGCATACGACATAATAAAAAAAGACTTTGTATCATCTATCCTTTCTCTTCCATTGCCTTCTCCTTTCCCAATTCTTTTTCCCCTCTGGATGTATTTCCACCAGACCAAATGAACTCTAAAACATCTCTTGCAGAACCAAACTTGCCATTAAAGTCCCCATTTTCTGAGCTTCAAAAACTACTGTTCAACTAAAATGATTTTTATTTCCTACTGATTGTACTTAGTTGATAATTGGAAATGTACTTTAAAAAGCTGAAATAAATTGTACCTCTTCCTCCTTCCAAATGATTAAGTACTAAGTGTCAGTTAAATATTCTTTTGCAATCTAACCTTTATAAGCGGGATATTTTTTTTTTCATTAAGCTGGCAGAGTTGTTATTAGGAATGTCAGAAAAAGTTAATATAGACAAAATCTTTGCAGAGCAGGTACCAACGAATACGATTAACTGTGGTTTCTTAAGATCACGGTTGTCTTGGCTGTGAGGGATAAAAGGAGCCTTTCCTAATCTAATCAGTGAAAATATTTGACTTTGTGGGAGAGCCATTAAGCACCTGTCATTTGTTCCTTTTGATATATCATTCACTGACCATTTTTTAGAAATCGATAGAAATGCCTGTGGTTGTGGGAACAATAAAATATAACAATTGTTGGAAAATAAGCCAATACCTATTCACATTTCAGTTTAGCGGCATGTGCCAAGAAGAGATTGACTACAAATACAGGCAGGAACTCATAAAGGGCTTTGAACTTTCTGCTGGCCACAGTCTGAGAGATGCCAGGAGAGGAGGGATGAGGAGGGACAGCCAGAGAGAGTCCAGACTTAAATGATGTATCAGCCCCCAGTCACCAAGAAGCAAGAGGCATAAGATTCTCATCCAGAGATGCCCATGCCCCCTCTTGAGGCCTAAAATGACAGTGGCAAATGAGCTTCAGGTCCCCCAGACCCTCCCGCTTTGACAGAACAGACCCCTCGCCTGGGGCACATGTTTCCTTCAGCCAACGAAGTCTCTGGCTGCATCTGGGTCACCCCAGTGAACAGAGGAAGGGGGACAGCACAAACTCAACAGGAACCAGGGACATCACACTGAGCAGCATGAGCGTGACCACGTGTGTGAGTGGAGCAAATAACATTACAACCACAGTTCACCGCACCACATACTCACCTTCAGGTATTCTCCCAAATCCTGCTTGCAGAACTGACATTTCTGTATGCTCCAAGGCGGTTTCCCACCTCCATCCCAAGCTCCTCAGCCTCTGCTGGTTGAACAGCGAGTGTATGTGCTTTCAATCATTGACCACTCTATTGAAATTAATTTTATTTTCTTTCTTTCTTTCTTTCTTTCTGTCTTTCTTTCTTTCCTTTCTTTCTTTTTTAGTAGTACTGAGAGATTGAACTGAGGGCCTTCACACTGAGTTCTATCCTCAGCTCTTAAAAAATCTTTGGATTTATTTTATTTTGAGATAGGGCCTTGCTAAGTTACTAAGTTGACCAGGCTGGGCTGGAACTTGGAGTCCACCTGCTTCAGCCTCCCAGTGTGTAGGCATTACAGCTATGTGCCACCACACCAGGCTTGGAAATTTACTCTTAAGGAAAAGGGAAATTATAGAAATACATTTGCAACCTCACACGTGGGAAACTAAGCCCAGGTATTGGCCACTATAGCCCAGACTTCTTTATTATGTTAGCCCCAAGTTGCCATGGCCTGCTGAGGGTTCTAAAGGAGACACTTGCCAGGCACGGTGGCATGTGCCTATAGTTCCAGCTGTGGTCCCAGCTCGAGAAGCTAATATGAGAGGATAGGAGTTGGAGATCAGTCTGGGCAACCATAGCAAAGCCCCAGTAAAAACAATTAAATTAAAAAATAATAAATGGAAATAAATGCTTTACTTGAGATAGAGCCAGGCTTGGGGGAAAACTTAGACCCTTGAAAATGTAATTTTGGTACTGATCTTATTTTGAGTATGATTATTGTTCCAGCCTAAAATTGCCTTTTTATTAAATAGAATTATAGATTTGTTGTAATCTTATGCAGGAGTCTCATTGTTTCTGGGACCAGGTAGTCTCTTTTCCTGTAACAAAGCTACATTTTTGTTAAGGAAGCTAATGGTGTAATTATATTCCTAGTTACAAAATTCACTTTACTGTCATATTTTAAAGGACAAAGTGCCAGAACGCTAAAAAGTAAGTGATCTTGGAACAGAAAGAAGTTTTGGATGTCTCTAGGTACAAACTCCCTCCTAGAGAGAAATCTACTTGGTGACATCCCCAACACTCAGTTTTGCCTGGCCTTCTTGGACCAGACCCCAAACAAACCTGGAAAACTCAGATTATCACAAGGCCTTAAAAGTTCCCTCTGGCAATACCAAGTTTGTAGTCGAGTCATCTAGAGTAAGTTTTATTTCACCTTCACATACCAATTTTTAAAAATCTTTGAAGGCAGATATTCTTCCTTATCTATCTTTTGACAACCACATACAATGAGCTGCCCAAGGTCTGTCCTTACCATGTTTATTTATCCACCTAAAAATACTTCCTTATCGAAGCCATTGATTTCAATATCTTAACCAAATGCCTTGGTTCCCACCTACACAATGGAAAAGAAAACTGTTTCAAGAGGTAAGAAAACCTTTTTATTGTTGCAGGCACCCATCGCAGGTTAACACTGGTTAAGATGGTAGGTTCTAGAATCAGATTGCTTTGTGTTCAGACTCTTGCCCTGTAATTTAGCTTAGTCTCTGCTGGTGCGATCCAGAGGGCCAAGTGATATAATGCGTATGAAAGCACTTAGCACAGGTAATGAGTCCTCAAAACGGCGGCCACTGCCCCATTATGACCTCATCCAAATGAGTGGATAAGTGTGCTGCTTGGAAATCTCCAGACTGGAAACTGGCTGCTTATACACATTAACCCCACTGATTGCTCAACCTTATTCAATCAGTTCCAGAAGTGATTAAAAATCAATTGAGTCAGCAAGCCATCTATCTACTGTTAAAATATTTTAAGCATCTTAAGGAATGCCAAACCACTGATACCTCCACTTTTTGGCCTTAAGATGTTTGAATTTTTGTTTAGCACAGCTTAAGGCATAGTGGAAGTAGGTATATAACTGGGTCATTGTGAAAGCTTTGTCAAAGGATGAATTAATTTGTGAAGGAAATTTTAAAAGGAAGCAACAGGAAACCATCATGGAAAATGATGTTTTCTCGGATGATTTTAAGTTCTGAAGGATGCCTACGATAAAAGAACAAGAAGAGACATGGATTTTAGCAACATTGTCAGATGAAATTCATCATCTGCCTCACAGTCCACAACAAGCAAACTATTGTTTTTCATGGTCATCAGACTTAGGTGTTAGGATGTACAAATGAATAATTAGATTGGTATTTCATTTACCTGGTCAAATACAATATTCCCATGGCCAACTCTAGGAGAAAAAGGACTGCAAAAGAGTTACACACTAGATCTCTCGCATTCCAGCAGCAGGTGGGAGGTCTGTAGCCAGGTAGCCTGGGGCTCCCAGCTTGCCAAGCACATGGCATCGGCCTCTGGCCTTTTTACTGAAAAGCTAAACTTACGGGTTTGGAATCCCTGAGGACCCTAGGATCCTTGCGCAGGAGGTCAATGAGGTTAAACTTTCTTTTTTTATTTTATGGTAGTAAGATATTAGTTGATGTGTTTTTTCTCTCATGAATATACAGTGGAGTTCACCAGAGGTTACATGACATATGATGTAACAGACTGGATGCAAGAGCAGATATGAGAATACAACTATCTTTTATTAAACCCAGATAATAAAGAGATTTACAAAAGGGCCAAAAAACTAATTTTCTCAATACATTTTTTTGTCTCAGATAATATACTTTTTAAAAATAAGAATGTTATTTATGTTCACATGTAACAGGTTTGTTGCTGTTCTTTTAAAATAATATTTTAAAAAATTTTAGTATGAATTTTTAATGTATTAAATATCAGTAGAAAAAAATATCAGTAGTTATAAACAAAAGCTATTTGGGATCCTTAATCATTGTGTAAAGGGATCTTGAGATAAAAACATGTTTTTTGAGAAAAGCTGATTGAAGTGAGCAAACTAACACCTGGGAGGTTCAGGAAGGCAAAAATCACTGCCATCTATTCTGGGGAGTGGATTCATTTAAATGGTTCCCATTCCTATTCTGTAGCTAAGAGCACTAAGGGAGTGAAAGGCATGGGGCTGGAGACAGAAACAAAAGGTTACGAAAAAGAAATGACAAAGCAGGTAAGGAAGGTGGGGAGAGGCATCTAGCCTAGTGGGTTTCAGATGTCCTCCCATTCAAAGACAGGAACCTGAAGATAGGAAAGGGGTACAGATAAGGCAAGTGAAGGAGAAAGCAGTGTAGGAAGGAAAGGAGATGGTGCTGGAGAAAGTGAAGGTAATTTGCAAGATACATGAAAAAAGTCAAGGAAGAGAAGACCGGAAGGTAAAAGGAAAAGTTGGAAATGGAGAAGGAATGAGCAGAGAGACGGAGGGACAGGACCATACTGGTCCAGAAGCAAAACCAGCTGTGTGAGCTGACCCCACAGGCTGCAGGGACAGGGCTTACCTCATGGGGAACATAATCAGGGGGCAGCTTGCTCAGCATATCTTCAGACAACCTGTAAACAATAGCCTCCCGCGTCTCTCCCACTCCACCTCCACTCTCCTTGGGTTGAATGTTGGTGATTGTCTCAAGCACGGCAGAAGCTGTGTTACTCTGATACCTGATGGGAAGAATATTCAGAATGTAACAGAGAAATAGACCCTCAAAAATAATTACCAAAGTTATATGAACTAATAAGAGCTCTAAGATCAAAGCCAGTCACAAAGAAAAGTATCATATCCTACAGGAATAAAAAAACTTGAGGTTCTATTTACTGCCTCCTACTGGTACATCAAGAACATCACAGAAATGAAAAGGTCTCTTATCTCTGGGGAAAGAGATTCCACAAATGTCCTCAGTGACCCAATTTGGTGCTTGGCAATTTTGACCATCTTTAGCCTTAAGCACCTTGGGTGGGACAATGAGCACATCTCCCTTTATTCTCTGCTCAGGGCTAGGTCATAAAAGTCTAGTACAATATGACAAATTGGTTAGAGCAAAGAGAACTACTCCTATGTCCACAGAGAATTGTACATTATTAAAATTTCCTTGATCCTTTCTGTTTCGTTTTTCCATTTTCTAATTTGTTTTATGATTTCCAAGGGAATTTACTGGCATCCATCTGCCCCACCTAATAGAACACAGCCACCCATGTTTAAAACCCATTTAGTCACCATACACCGGGCACTGAGCTAGATTCCAGGATATGGCAGTGAACAACACTTAGTCCTGTTCTCTAGCAGAGGAAGTGTGTATTACACTACACTATTGCAGAAAGTCCTGTGGAAGAAAACAGGATGCTTTAAGCAAGTTTGGTCTCTCTCTTTCTTCCTCTATAGCTCTTTTGGGTTGACCAGATGCTCTGAGGTGCAAGAACTTAGCCTTTGTCCTGAGGCACTGGCTAGGTGTTATCTGGACACTCATGTGTTTGTGTACATGCACATGCATTTGTGTTGTGTGTTTGTGTGTGAGTCAGTGGCAAAAGACCAGACACAGTCCTTTAAAAAGTCACCTGTGAGCTGAGATCTGAGATCTGGGTAAGCAGGTCAGTCAGGCAGTAGGGCCAGTGGGAGGCAGAAAGGACCTTCAGAAGGAGAAAGTGAGAAGGATTTCAGTGCATTTGAAAATAGAGTCAAGGCCAGTAAGGCTGGAGCCAGTGAGCTAGAAGAAGAGGGGAAGAGGGAACTGGGCCAGGGATTAGACCACTTAGGGTCATGCAGGCTACTTTAATGATTGTAAACTTGAGCCTAAAGACAACAGGCAACCACTGTAGACCTTCCAAGATAGAATGTGGCACAGCATGATCATGTTTAAACTTTTCTCTTTTGAACTCCTATAAACATCAAATATTTTGACTGGGAGGGGGTTCATTTGTAAATGTTGTACCTGTCCAAATGTATAACACATTCACATTTCCTTTGATAGGTGTTAGAGTCAAATGTAGAAGGAATTCAGCAAATACTTGAGATTAGTGATTTTCTCTTTTATTTTATTGGACAGGAAATGTCTCTGTAATATGGTACTGTGCCTTAAATTTTTATACTCACATACCTTTAAATATAGCATTTCACATTTAAGAATTCATCTTAAAAATCAGACATTTCTATTTTTGACATTTGTACAGTGCAGCTGTTACCATGAACCACCCTTCTAAAAACAACTAAAAATGAAGGATAAGAAAAATATCTTATATTTCTAAATATTAATATTAAATATTAATGAACTGGAAAAACATTAAGAAAGCCTCAGCTCAAACAAAATATAGAGTAAAAACTAGAATCCAGAGAAATAAGCCATATTTTACCTTGGGAGCATCAACTTACCCTGGTGGTTGTAAGTTTCTGTTTGGACAGCTTGGTGAAGTGAGGGAAGCCCTCATACCCAAGGTGGGAAGTCTACCAGGAAATTCTGATATAAATCTGAGACACAATCAGACTATGTCCTCTGTGTAAGGGTAGACTAGAAAGAATCCACCCATCTCAAGGGAACAGCAGATAACTTGTTCTGTCTAGCTTGCCCTTGAATAGGGAAAAAAGTGCTTCCTGAAAATTCTTAGTTCACCAAGTTTGTGACATTAACATTCATATTACCTGTGCAATTTGAAGAAACTCAAGCTATGAATTTAATTTATGGTGGTTCCAGGATGTTCTACGGGCCCCTGATTAAAATAAACACAAATCTCCCCTGGCACAACAGACTTTCAACTCAGAACTCGAGAATCCAACAGTTAATTTCCAATCGACATGAACTCACAGTCCAAAGTTTAAAAACTGATGTAGCTCAGTGGTAGAATATGTGTAGGTCCTAGGTCTCATTACCACCATCACAACAAAATACAAATTAAAAAATTTAAAATGTAGAGAGAAGCAAGGAACTCTAAGAGTTAGCATCAACAACAGAAAACAAAACCATATCTATAAAGATCTTAGTAAATTGTCAGATGCATGTTGTAAAGTATGTTTTTACTATATTGAATTTTAAAAGGTAACTGAAAATGAGTATTAAATAGGAAGCCATAAACATGAATTGTGTAACTGAAAATGAACCATACAGAACTTCTGGAAACAAAAAATAAATAAAATTTAAAATTCACACTGTTTTATTGGGGCTGTAGCAAACTACTACAAAATCAGCAACTTATATATAAATTTATTACTGAGTAGCTCTGTAGTACAACACAAGTCTCACTGGTCTAAAATTAAGGTGTTGCTGCAAAGCTAAGTTTCTTTCTGTAGGTTGCAGGGGCAGATCTATGCCCTTGTTCACATGGGTGATTGGTAGAATCCACTTTCTTATAGTTGAGTTAAAGATCTCCACTCTCACAACCTCAGTCTCTCTTTCTCCTCCTATTTTGTCTCTCTCACCCATCCTTTTGCCCTCCTCTTCCACTTTTAAGGCTTTCATGACTAGATTGGGCCCACCTGGATAATCCAGGATAACATTCCTATAACAGGATCCTTAACCTTGATTCCATCTGTAAAGTCTTGCAACATAAGGTGACATATGCATAGCTTCTTTTTAAGGGTCCATTATTCTGCCTACCACAACAGTTTATAATGGGTTAAACGGCAGATTAGATACAGCCAAAGAGAGAATTAGAAAAGTGGAAATAAATCTGATGATATTTCACAAAGGATAAAATAAATGGAAAATATGAAAGGTTGAGAGACATGTAGGCTAGTGTGATAAGCTCTAACAGCCATCTCAGCAAAGCTTAAGAAAGACAAGAATGAAAAAAGAGCAAATACTGTAGGTGAATAAAATAACAACTGCAAACTGAATGAACCCCAAATAGGACAAATAAACAGATATATAGAAATACATATATAGGCACATCACAGTGAAACTAAAGAACACCAGAAACAAAGAACAGCCAGAGATTTAAAAAAAAACTATCTAGAGAGAAAAGACAATTAAATTGGTAGCCAATTCCTCTAGAGTAGCAACAAAATCCAGACAAAAACAGAATAGTGTTTTTCTATACTAAAATAAAATTATACAGCTAGAGTTGTATGCCAAGCAAAACTGTATTTTTTTAAGGACAAGAAAATACATTTGTATAGACAATTCACCAAAGAAGTTGTATGAATGGCCAATAATCACATGGAAGGATGTCCTACCTTACTACTTGTTAAGAAAATGCAAATTAAAACTGCAATGTGCTATCATATCACACTTCCAAGATGGTTATAATATAAAACAACAAAAATGTAAATAGTAACAAGTATAAGCAGAGATACAGGAAAACTTGAACTTTGTAATTGCTAAAGGCAATTATAAAATTGGTGCAGCTGCTTTGGGAACCAGTTTGGCAGTTTCTTAAAATGTTAAGAATAGATTAACAGTTCAATCTCTGGTACCAAAAAAAAAAAAAAGAATAGATTAATAACACAACCCAAGAGTTTCATTCCCAGGTATCTACTGAAATGAAGAGATATGTCCCCTCAAAGACTTGTATATGAATGTTCACAGCAGCATTCACAATAGCTCCAAATGGAAATGTACACCAATTAGTAAAGAGATAAACAAAATGTGGTACAGTCATACATTAGAACACCACTTATCATTAAAAAGAAGGAAGTATATACATGCTGTAATAGGTGTGAACTTCAAAAACATACTAAGCAAAAGAATCCAGACACATGATGTGAGTCTACCTGTAGGAAATGTGCAGAAAAGGCCAATCTACACAGATACCAAGTAGAAGAGCAAGCGGATGAGCTGGGGCTTAACTACAAATGCTTACAAGATTTCTTTTCAGAGTGATGGAAATATTCTAAAATTAGACTGCAGTGATGGCTACATAGCTCTGTAAACTTACACTCATTTAATTGCCCACTTAAAATGAGATATATGTTAAAGCTAACAAAAATGGAGAGGAAAAAATAAGACATTTTCAGAAAAGAACAAGAGAGTAAACCATCAACAGACCATCACTGGAGTACATTCGGAAGAACATACTTTGGAAAGAAGAAAAATGATCCTGATGAAAGACTTGAGGTGTAGAAAATAATGGGTCAATGCATGAATAAATCTATATAAGCATTATAGTACAGAACAACACCGTAGGTCTAATTGTGGGGTTATAAAAAACAAGGCAAAATTAAAACACTGTAATGTCAGAAGAGGAGTGATTGGAGTTAAAGTTACCTAAGAATTTTTGCTTGAGAAAAATAGAAATATATTAATTTTAGACTTAAGAATGGATGTTATAATTGCTAGGGTAACTGGTAAAAAAATGAAACAAATATAGCTTTCAAACTAGCAGAGGGGGAGAAAAATGGAAAAAACTCTTATTTAGCAAAAGGCCAAAAAGAAGAAAGAAGAAAAGAATCACAATACAGAAGTAGTGTACAAGAAACAACATTTTATATTTATTTTTTATACTTTATACATGCTTAAAACATCATTTTATAGTTACAATATTTGATAAAAGTTTTTTTTATTTTGCATACTTTTAATTTCAGAACAAAATAAACAAAAAATAAAATCACAATACACAACATCTAACCCTGCTGTCAAATAATGGAGGGGTGGGGCTTGAGGCCCTTGCTTCCTGCTTTCCACACAGAGCAAGAGAAACCACTAGACATCAGCAGAGGGAGCGAGGTGGGACAGGGC